GAATTAAAGCGCTTCACACTGCACTGTAAAACATGTATGTAAAAAAACTGCCATATTCTGACAGTAACATACTGCCTTTTCATTAAAACAGTAAAATCCCATAGAAAACAATGCATTCTGGGTAATATTTGTCATTTTCGAGAAAGTATCCTTCTGCAGTCCTTGTAGTGTCAGTGTTCAGATTCGACACTCAGAGGCTGTGTTTCAAATCACACCCTACACCCTCATTCACTATTCCCTACATGAGTTTACTAATACAGTCCACCTGACAGAGAGAATGTAAACTAATGAGTGAATTCAGCCAATGATGAACAGCTGCTGTTAACAAGCAGAATCACTAAAGAAAAGAGCAAGAAATGAAACTACAACTAACTTCAGCCACAGCCTTAAATGAAATCAACTGAAATAAAACAGCAGAGGAGGATTACACAACTCCACAAACAGCATTAACAGTCTGACTTTATTTCTGTCATATATCTACAAAACTTCTTTGAGAATTAACAGAGGTTTCGATGTTTTATTGAAAATGTTTCGTTTGACCTCACCATCGTGGCGATCAGTGTTTGCTTTAGTTGGGCTCTTGACCCTTGACCATTTAATGTGAGTTTTTTTTTCTTCTTTTTTTGGTTATTGTAGTGGTGTTTGTAAGTCACATTCGTTATAAGAAATGCCAAGCAAAGTTGTTGTTAAATGGTTCTGGTTAAGTATTAATGATGGTGTAAACATCATCTAGAGACCTGATTCGCTGACCTTATTCAGTGGTTTAACTTTAAAAGTAACATGTGTTGTATCACTAGTTTCATATTTATTTTAACTATATGACACTGTAAGATAAAATGATAAAATATTATAAAGGATTTTAAAGTAAATCTTCTGCACAAATCCTTTAGAACTACAGCACAGTTTAGACACACAGAGACATCAAGAATCAGCACATGAATCTCAACAATGGTGACAATCAAAAGCTTCATGCTGCAATGCATGCTGGGTACCAGCACAGCACAAAACTCATCGGCATGAATAAATTATGCTGCTGAATTGTCCACTTATTTCATTCTTACTATGTGCTTTTATTTTTGCTTTTGTGTTGAGTTTTAGTAGCGTGTTTGTGAAAAAAAGTTATTTTCACTGATGTTTCGAAGAAAAAAGTTATGCAAAGTCATGAACTGATAAGGAGAGTAAATATTGAACTGAACTGTATTAAAGTGTTAGTTTAATGTAGATTTTATTGGCAATTTTTTGCCAGTAAAATCCT